CTCCTCCCTCAATGGCTCCTACAGTAAAGATCAAAAAGGAGGAGATGGGGCAAAAATGTTGTTACAGTGAGTTAGAATCTTGCAGACACTGGCCCTCTCTTTGCCAGTGGCTCCATGATGGAGTTTGAAGAACTAGTATTGGGAGAGAATATGGAGCCCTATTTCCTCTACCCTGCAACACTACTAGCTAAGGAAAGCCCATTCTGCAAGCCTGCCACCAGGCAGGAGTAACCTATCCTCCCACTAGAGGTTCCCCAAGTCCCTCAATTAAGAGAGGTCACAAACAGACTATGCACCTCAGAAATCAAAGGGGATCCATTTCCCCTAACCAACCACCCAGCCCTCTACCAGAAAGGACCAACCTGACCTGACCAACTAGCTCGTAGCTAGAGGCTGCTGGAAAAATCACCCACCATCAGTGTGGGTGCAAGGAGCAGCCCCAAGACAATGGAGCCTCCTGGAGGAACCTCCATAAAATACTGTGAAAGGGTAAGGATTGATTTTGTGGTAGTTGTTAGTAGGGTTGGGGAGTAATGTACATAGAATGCCACGTGTCATTGATTAATGCAGACATTTCAAGGGAACTGTTTCTTAAGATGTTGGCATCACAACATTAATTTGACTGGCCAAGAGGACTCAATAAAATCTCCCCCCACAACTTTAAAACTAAAGCTGTTTGGTTCTTTTTTCTCTGGTCTTCTCTCTTTCACTCTGAGAGTCTCTTGCCCATCGTAGGGTTTTATACTGGCATACATCACCCTGTTATCTGGGTGCCTTCCACATAAACTCAAAGGACTAGCCAAGTGCCAGAGACTCAATGATCTACATACACACATGCTGGGCTCTTCTGTTGACCTCACCTATTAGCAGGAGGTATCTAATGCTACAGCCATCTCTGGGGTGGAACAGGGAAGCTCTTTAGCAGCACACAGGAACAAAAAATATTTCAGAACAGGAAGTGAATATTAGTATCTCCAACAGAAGTTACAGGGGGAATTTAGGTAGGCAGAATTTGACATACAACTATTAATCCACAAAAACATATGTTCAAATATTGTTAAAGCTCTTACAGAGGAAAATAAATAATTGCCAGGGTCCTTAACTTACACTGTTGCACCTAGGTGCTGTAGCATGATAATACATCACTATCACAAGGCCAATACAATAGTGAGTTAAAGATGGACTAGCAGCTCTTTAGCTCAAGAGTTCCTTTCTTCTATTTAATGTTTAATTCACAATTTTGAATAGTATAAAGATGTCTACACTGAGAGTTTTTTTATATCAAGCTTTTAACAACATATGGTTGTTTATTTTTGAAAAGGGAGAGGGAGGCATACAAAAATATTATCTCTTTACCAGTCCGAACTGAGGCCCAACCACTATACAGTCCAGCTTCCTAAACAGCAACCATAAGCTTGGAAGAAAGTGTTTTTATCTTTTATAAACACATCTGGTATAGCTGACCTACATGATTATTAGCTCCCACCAAGATTTGCAGTAATTAAATATCTCATAACACTTTTCACAGAAGTTGGGGTGTTATCCTTGATACAGGCAAATGTTCTGCCTTCTTAAATTCCCCTTGCAATTTCAAATAGATACATTATTCTTCACTTCCTGTTATAAACGATTATGAAGTGTTGCTGTATGCTGCTAAACAGCTGCTGCATTCATCCCATAGGTTACAGCATTTCAGTGGCTGGTGAAGTGATGTCAACATGTAGGATCCGATTCTCCAGAGCTTTTCACCTTGGATCATCATTTATGCATGTATAAATGTACAGTAGATGTAAATCATTTCCCTTTTGATTTGGCAGCATTTTACACTCAGGTGGTGCAAGTGTAAATTACTATCTAAGGCGCAAAGCAGTGATGAATCAGGCCCATATGGCGCAAGTGCTTTGAAGTCTTTCAAGAAGAAAAGGTGATATAGAACAACATTAAAAAGTTATTTGCATAATACCATAGCAGATTTCAAAAGACTGTCTTTTCAGTAGAATTCCATTGTCTTCTGAGCTCATGGGAATTCTTCTGAAACAACAGTCTTTTGATGGATGTTCAGATACTATGATGATGAGCTCTATGTAATTGCCAACAGAGGTAGAAGACTAATCTTCCATTCACTGAAAGTCCTTAATGCATCTATTCAGCAATGTAATGTAGTCCCATTTGAGGCCTGCAAGCAAAGGTTTTGAGTTGAAGCCTTTAAATGACATTATGGAAGTGAGACAAGGGGGGGTGAGGTACTGTCTTTTATTGGACCAACTTCTGTTGGGTGAGAGAGACAAGCTTTCGAGCCACACAGAGACCCGAAAGAAAGTTGTGTGGCTCGAAAGCTTGTCTCTCTCACCCAAGAGAAGTTGGTTAATGAAACAAAAAGATATTACCTCACCTACATTGTCTCTCTAATATCCTGGGACCGACATGGTTACAACCACACTGCATACAATTCTGGGAGTCCTACAAGACCTGCTGTCCATACTAGGGCAATTTTCCCAAATATTCTAACTGGTTTAAAACCTGGTTCAGCTCAACCAGATTTAAAACTGTTTGGGGCATAATATAGACCACGTTTTGGTGACTTGAGCCATATAAGTGGAAAAGTTGAATAATTTCAAAAAAACAGCTCTAGCAGGAGTGGTGAATGAATATCTAGGAGGGTGGAAATCCTGTTCTATAAATTTACAAATTATACATTTTTAGCAAAGAGGATAAACTTCATGAACATTGCTATCAAATTTCCCTTAATAAATAGGTAGCCAGTTTATTTACCAATGTTAACACTATAATAATAGAATTAAAATTAATTAATAATTAATTAATAAAATTCTAGCATTGTTGTGCCAGTCTGTGTATGTCAACATTAAACAATGAAATGTTTACTATGATTCGGACCACAACTAGTTAACTGTAGAGGCTAATTTCTAACTAACTCTACAAGCTGACTTTTTTCAATCAGCATTGTAATTGGCACATGTGCAGACAGGAAATCCTCAACACTACTAAGTTTCCCAGTCTATTATCTGAGACACCTGGTGTGGGTGTGTTGATACAGAGAAAATACAATGAATCATACCCCGACTGCCCATCAATTAACCAGCTTTAACTGTTAATGTGTTTAATTCTTAAAGGGTGGAGAGCAAAAGTGAACACTGAGGAAACTTCCGTTGTTAGTTTCCAGAATATAAAACAAAATTTAGTTATTCTAACGTTGCTTTCTAATACTTAGTTTTACTTTGAATCAAAGCAGTGAATTGGATTTCAACTGACCTGCAGTAGTATATTAGTCAGCTTTATAGATTATGGTTAAGGTTAAAGCCAGGTTTCTTTTATCAGCTCAATTTTAAACAGCTCCCACTTCCAACTTTGCCAAAAGTAATTCAATCCACCAGAAATTCACAGGTGTGACTATACACCAGGGTAGAATTTTACTGGCAAGTCTGAGGCAAATCAGATAAGATGTTTGGGAAACATGCAGGTGTGAAAAATGAAATGATCTCAGTTCTTGAACATTTTTCTAAAGGTTTCAGGCTTGTCGCAACTCTAAAACAGCATGAGCTTTCTGGTCTTCGCAAATACTTGTGCCTTTGATCTGTTATGGGAGAAGGGAATTAGTTATTAATATAGTTTTTAACGGACCTTAAAGAACCCCATTACTTTCAGATGGAGAGCCACAATAGTAGCACAACAAAGCAAAAGTTGATCAGGATTTATAACCTACATCCCTCTCTCTGTGTTATAGGGATACAAAAGAGTTAGTTTAACTCAGAAGAAAAGACAACTAGGATGGCAGCTGTGGTTTATTGGACAGTCCACTGAGTGCAGTAAGTCAGGACATCCAGTTCCTATCAATGACTCCTGTCACTGACCCACTTAGTAAGCTTAGGCAAATCACAATCTCTTTGGTTCTGATGAAGTGGGTTCTAGCCCACGAAAGCTTATGCCCAAATAAATTTGTTAGTCTCTAAGGTGCCACAAGGACTCCTCATTGTTTTTGCTGATACAGACTAACATGGCTACCACTCTGAAACCAACCATTATAATGCAATATCAGGAGAGGAAAGAGTATCATAGAAGTATTATAATTAGAATAATAATTAAATCATGGTAAAACTGATTTTTTTTCAGTGTCAGACAGATTTCTTGAGCAACAAATTTAAATCTTATCTGGTCTGTTAAATCCAATCTGTTAGCCAGATTTCTCCCTGCTTCAGCTGATATATCCTGCCATAGATATGCATGGATCTTTACAAAAATCGAAGACAATAGGTCCTGTACTCCAAAAAGAGTACAATCTAAACAAGGGACCACAGGAAGTGAAGGCAAATTGACAATGGTAGTGATGGCAGAGTTGTGGGACGTGAGGCAGAAAAAATGTTTTCCATTCCATGTACTGGAAGCCTTACATTATATATTACTCAATACTTTGGACTCTACACGAATTATGCTTGGTATTTTCTATAACATTTGATGTAACTGAAGTGGAAAACCGGTTTCATTTCATTCTTGATTATAAAGTTTTTGGTGACTAGTTTAATGACTTGGAGTCTACCATGCATTTCTGTATATGGGACTGATTCAGGTATCTGGCTCACCTCAGGTGAGAGCAGTTTAGGTGAGTGGAGGACAAACAGTTGAGCTCTTCACTGGGAGAGTCTGAGATACACAAGTACCTCCAGCTACTACATTTCCTGTGAGATGTTGGGGTTCTTAGAGAAGGCTGCCTCTCTCTCTCCCCCCCCTAACTGGATGCTGAGCACTGCAGTGGAGTTTAGAGGCAGCTAGCAGAAACGGCAGCCCCCTTGAACATCAGGATAAAAGGGAACTTTTGGACTGTAACTGAACAAGACAAGCATAAGAGAGTGAGAATCAATGGCCAGGTGCTAAGTCCTGTAGAGGGGGAGGCTGTTTGACACCACACAACACCAGGGGTGAGGGATTTCATTTCAAGAGTGGAAAGCATTTTTAAGAAGCAGTTATTTTAAAATGTTCTAATTTACCTACTGCCCACATCACTGTGTCAAAGTCATCCATTTCTTCTTCGCCTGAGTCAGTATATTTCCAGGTAACTTGCAGTTTGCCGCTCTTCAGCTTTTCAACTTTACTTGGGGTGCATTTCTTTAAAAATCTTGTACCACACGATTCCATGTAATCGGTTACTAAGAAGGACATTTGCTGTGAAGTAAAAAAAAAACCTAAACATTTTTTTATTTAAAAACAAGCAACTTTTAAGTCTTCTCAAAAATCCACAACTTATTTGTGCTCATTAAAACCTAGTGAATACATCAACCACGTCGAGCATACTTTGTTATTTCAAACCTATGCAACCTTGTAGCTTCCTAAAAAAACCCTGATCATTTTGATTTAAACAGCTGTCCCCTGAGGACCTTTTTCTTTGTTTTGGCTGGCCTTGCCTTAGAATATACCACCTCTAGCCTCATTCAAATTGCATAGGAAATAGAGAATGTAAAATATCAGCATGTAAAAATACAATTAAGTTTTTTTTCCCACCATTAACAGAAAACCTAATGTTCATGCCTTTGGGATTTCTCATGCTGTGCCAGAGCAATCCAGTGAACCTGACAGAACTTGGGGATTTCTCACATGACAGACAAACTGAGGTCCTGACAAACTACAGTGGTGGGATAGAGTGTCACTATAATTTTAAGAATCAGTATATTTACACCCACTGCAAGTCATGTCTTACAGCACAGGTAACACTTTGGCCTTAATTTTTAATAGTCCTGTTTTGCCAGATCTCACTGGTTTCACAGACACATTCTGACCACAGTCCAAACACTGGGCTGATCACGAAGGTAAGTCTTTATATTTATCCATGGCAAGAGCTGTTTTTTTAACAGAGCATTGCATCAAATATTCCACAATCAATTAGCAATGTGGTACGCTGTGGTATAATTCCCTTGTATACAATCAGCTTGGGAGCCTTGCTACATACTTTAACTCCAATGTGCTACACGCTACATGGGACCTTAATCATCACCAAGGGGACTGAAAGGGCTGGAATGCATGATCATTTTGCTATTAATCGAGGACCAACTCAAATAAGATGACAAAAATGCTAAAAAATTCCTTTTAATTTCAGTTTTGCCTTTTGGCGTTTACATACATGTGTTTTTTCATTACCCTCTACAGATCTTTTGATGCATCTTTGGCCCAGTATAGTACCAATTAGGTGGTAGACATGTCATCATCCGTACTGACATGAGTGTACACATACCAGTATGTGTCTTTTATACACAGGGTATGATTCCCAAACTCCAGTCTTGTTTACTATTTGTACCCTCTATTTTGTTTTGTAGGGCATCTATGACTACTATTTCTCTTTAATAAAGCTGCTCTTAGACAGCATTGCTTCTGCAGAAGGTGACTAACATTATCCTACATACACCACTCCCCTCTGGGCAAGCAGTGAGCAAAAACCAAATGTCTCAAACTAGAGAACCATAGATGTGTGAGTGAACTGAATTATGTTGCTGCTTACTTTCAGATAAAGAACAGTGTGTATGACAGCTCTGATGTCCTATTTACAAGCAACTATTCAAAACAGTCAGACTGGGATTTTAAAACGGTTCAGTGTTGTGTAGACAGCCAACATCATCTACTGCACTAAGCATGGCCAGTAAATCCCAAGATGCAATCCTTATTCCATCAACAGACCTATTGCATAGCCTTGTGATAGCCACTTAGTCTCTGTGTGTCAGCTTCTCCATCTATAAAAAGGGAGCAAGTTATACTTACCTGCCTCCTAGAATGTTAAGCGGATTCAAGTGTGTAGATCACTTTTTATATATCAAAAGGTTATAAAGAATCAGCTAATTCAACTTAACATGGTCAGAATTTCAGTTTTTCTGGTAGTCTGAAAATGGGAAACCTTTACATAACCCAACTAGCACAGAGCTTCCTGCGGCCACTACACCTATCATACGCCTCTGCAATAACCGTGAAATTAAGGTATCCTGAAAAGCTTTACTACAAAAGGAAATGGTGGTTTTTCAGGAGACACCTTTGATAAATGTGTTTGAATCAACGCCACATCGCTGTCAAGCCGTGAACTGCCCCATTGACAGGTTTATTCAAAGATGTCATTGCTCTTGATTGTAGTGAGTCAGGTTGTATTTTATCATATGAGTTGTTTATTACTTATAAACAAGGATATTATCACAAAACCACCCACACAGAAGAAATGCTCATTCTTGGCTTATACGTTAACATTTTATTTTCGAGCTAAAAGTTGTGGCTGGCAATACAGTAGCAAATGCCAATGTTATTTCTCTTCTGAAACCTGGTATATCAATATTACCTCATCAGTCTCTATCAGGCTCAACCTAGTTACAATCTGACTACACCTATCTCCAGACCTGTTTTGCCTCCACTCCTCCTCGTGTTTAAACTGTTATCACATGTATTGTTTCTATCCACATAAGACAAAGTTCCACGGGAAAAGAATATTCTCTAAGTGTTTTGTAAAGGACTCACATGTTCATGGCACTCTATAAATACCCTAAGATTTTTATGGATTTACAGGTGTAGACTTCATAGCAAGATGAGAATAAATCCCAGAATATTAGCCAGTTTAGGCTATGTTTTGTGCCTTGTTTCAAATTCTTGAGATGTATTTTAAAATCATCTGCCCTATCTCGTTTTCACAGAAATATGGAAAATATTCTTTTTAAAAAGTTTGTACTTATAAAACAAACCATAATAATCTTTAACATGCAACGATTATGCACATCTACTATATACAACTGTTTACAAAAATCCAACTAATTACAGTGGGAATGACCGCTATAGCTAGTGTTGCATATTGGTTTCAATTCTAAGCCTCTGTTTTCAGATGATTAACTTTCCAAAGGCTTCACACTTCCAGCTGAAATTTTCTAGGCTTGTTATCTGAATGAGAGAGAATTACTTGGAAAGTTTAAGCAAGAATGGTTCAGCCAGTACAAGAGTGGACACTAAGCTAATTTTGGAGAAAGAGCCTTTGACGCTTTGAGCCATGGGACAACCAGAGCAAATCAAATTGGCCACTTCCCTCTTGCTTGAATTAAGTAGAAGAAAAAAAGAAGTACGGTCTAGTGGTCTGAATACAAGACTAGAACTTGGTTGTTCCTGAGTCAATGTCAGTTCTGATCCAATTCCCTTTGTAGCCTTGGGCAAGTCACTAGACCTCCCCTCCACACGTCCCCTTTTGTAAAAGGGGGTTAATATTTATAACACACCTACAAGGTAATATTTTGTGAAGGAAAGTGCTGCTATTTCTATAGAAGACAAAAACACCCCACACATCTCAAGAGATTTAAGCTATACCGATCGTTACCTGATCAAACCCTCGAAGTGGGATACTTCTGACCATGACCGTGGTATCCTGTCCAATGCCTGTGAGAAAACCGGCACACTCAAGGGACACATCTTTTGAATCATCAATTAAAGGAATATAGATTACGTGATTTCAGATGAAAAACAACCAAAACAAGGATATTGCCACAAGGAGACTTGGATTATTCTAATCAATGAAATATCCATGGCAATAACGTTGCTGTTGTATAAAGAAAGAACAAAAGCAAGCTAGTGTTCATATTACAGGAAACTTCACAAATAAATGTTTGCAAGACCCTCAGAATGCACCATCATCTGATCTGAATTCTTATGACTGTACTGCTCAAAATGCAATTAATGTAGTTTAACCACTGATGCAGGTAAACAGTTCAAGAGTGGGGGAATTTAGACAATTGAGCCTTCACAGAAAAAACAAAATATGCCAATCGTAATCATAAATCATTACAGCTTTTACAAAGGATACAGCTAGCTCCAACCACCAACCTGTTACGGAAAAAAATATAGCAGTGAAATGAGCTTGTGCATATTTTTACACAATTGATACAAAATTATTTTCTGGTGTGTAGTATGATTATAAGATTACAGGTTTGATCTGCACATTTGACATTGTTAGATGGAAACAGTAAGAGTGTGGTTTTCAAATTCCAACATAAAGACAAACATGCTAAAAAGCGTCAGATTTCATTTCGAACCTATTTTATTAATGAAAAAAATTGATAGGTTTATAAAAAATGGAGTTGTTTTTATCTTGTGAAATAAAAGATCTAAAACACATTCTGAAAAACAAAACAGATAAAAGCACACACACACACAAAGTGGGAATAACGAGGGGTTAAAATGAATCATGACTAAACTCATTTATTGGGTTGCAAATTACAGGTAAAAGCTGGCTGCTTGGAGCAAAACTGTTTTTTTGCTTATGTTCCAGCATAGATTTTGATGTTAAGTTAGATTGTAAGCTTTTGGGACAGGGACCATCACTTACTATGTATTTGTACATAGTGCAGTGGGGTCCAGATCCATATTGGGGCCTCTAGGTGCTATCACAATACAATTAATAAACAGAGACACAAAATGGGATTGCAACAAAAGTAGAGGATCTGTGACTCTTCTAGGCACGGACTTTTGTAGACCTCTATCATATCCCCTTTTGGTAGTCTCTTTTCTAAGCTGAACAGCCCCAGTCTTTTTAATCTTTCCTCATACGGTAGCTGTTCCATATCCATAATAATTTTTGTTGCCCTTCTCTGTACTTTTTCCAATTCTAGTATATCTTTTTTGAGATGGGATGATGAGAACTGTATGCAATATTCAAAGTGTGGCCGTACCATGGATTTAGATAGTGGCATTATGATATTTGCTGTCTTATTAACTATCCTTTTCCTATTGGTTCCTACCATTCTGTTAGCTTTTTGACTGCCACTGCACACTGAGCAAATGTTTTCAGAGACCTATCCACAATGACTCAAAGAGCTCTTTCTTAAGTGGTAACAGTTTATTTAGACCCCAGCATTTTGTATGTTTTTCAATGTGCATTACATTGAACTTATCAATACTGAATTTCAGCTGCCCTTTTGTTGCCTGGTCACCCAGTTTCGAGAGATCCCCTTGTAACTCTTTGCAGACTTGAAGTCTTTAGATCACAATCTGGAGACTTCAACAGCAGAGTTAAGGGAAAGTGGGGGGGTCAGCTTTTGTGGCCTGCATCATGCGGGGGGTCAGACTAGATGACCATATTGGTCCCTTCTGACCTTAAAGTCTATGAGTCTATGAGTCAGTTGACTTTGAACATAACTATCTTGAGTAATTTTATATTGTCTGCACTCTTTGCCACCTCATTGTTTACCTCTTTTCCAAGATCATTTATGAACATGCTGAACAGCGCTGGTCCCAGTACAGCTACTTGGGGGACCCTGCTATTTACCTCTTTCTACTATGAAAACTGACCATTTATTCCTACCCTTTGTTTACTCTCTCAACCAATTACTGGATCCACGAGAGAACCTTTCCTCGCCTACTTCGCTGAAGAACCTTTGGTGAGGGATCTTGTCAAAGGCTTTCTGAAAGCCACTGGATTACCATCATCCACATTTGTGGACATACTCAAAGAATTATAATAGACAGGTGAGGCACAATTTTCCTTCGCAAAATCCATGTTGACTCTTCCCCCAACAAATCGTGTTCATCTGTGTGTTAGATAATTCTGTTCTTTACTATAGTTTCAACCCATTTGCCTGATACTGATGTTAGGCTTACTGGCCTGTTATTGCCAGGATTGCCTCTGAAGTCTTTTATAAAAATCAGTGTTACATTAGTCATCTTCCAGTCATTTGGTATAGAGGCTGATTTAGGTGTTTACACACCACAGTTAATGTTCTGCAATTTCATATTTGAGTTCCTTCAGAATCCTTGGGTGAATATTATCTGGTCCTGGAGACTTATTACTGTTCAATTTATCTATTTGTTCCAAAATCTCCTCTACTGACACCTCAATCTAGGGTTGTGGCTACACTCGAAACTGCCGCGGGAGCACTTTGAAGTGTGAGTATGGTCGCACGCCAGCGCTGGGAGAGAGCTCTCCCAGCGCTGCAGGTACTCCACCTCCACGAGTGCTGGGGCACTGTTTACACTGGCGCTTTACAGCACTGTAACTTGCTGCGCTCAGGGGGGTGTTTTTTCACACCCCTGAGCGAGAAAGTTGCAGCGCTGTAAAGCGCCAGTGTAGCCATAGCCTAGGACAGTTTCTCAGATTTGTCACCTAAAAGAATGGCTCAGGTGTGGGACTCGCCCACACATCATCTACAGTAAAGACTGATGTAAAGAATTCATTTAGCTCCTCTGTAATGCCCTTGTCTTACTTGAGTGCTCCATTAGCACCTCGATCATCCAGTGGCCTGGCTGATTGTTTGGCAGGCTTCTTGCTTCTGATGTACTTAAAGGTTTTTTTGCCGTTAGTTTGTGTGTCTTTTGCTAGTTGCTCTTTAACTTCTTTCTTGGCTTGACTTACTAAACTTTTACACTTGACTTGCCAGAGTTTTTATTCCTTTCTTCTCCCTCAGCGAGATTTGACTTCCAATTTAAAAAAAAATGTCTGTTTGCCTTTAACTGCCTCTTTTACTCTGTTTAGCCATGGTGGCATTTTTGGTCCTCTTTTTTTTTTTTTTTTAATTAATTTGGGGTATACATATAGTTTGAGCCTCTATTATGTGGTTTTTAAAAAGTTTCCATGCAGTTTGCAGGCATTTCACTCTTGTGACCATCCCTTTTAATTTCTGTTTAACTCGCCTCCTCATTATTGTGTAGTTCCCCTTTTTGAAGTTAAATGCTACTGTGGTGCGTGTCTCTGGTATTTTCCCCCCTGCAAGGATGGTCTAACACATAGAGGTCTATACAATCATGAATGGTGTGGAGAACATGAATAAAGTAGTATTGTTTACCCCTTCACATAACACAAGAACCAGCGTCACCCAATTAAATTAATAGGCAGCAGGTTTAATACAAACATAAGGAAGTACTTCTTCACATAATGCACAGTCAACCTTTGGAACTTGTTGCCAGGGGATGTTGTGAAGGCCAAAATTATAACCAGATTCAAAAAAGAACTAGATAAGTTCATGGAGGATAGATCCAGCAAAGGCTATTAGCCAAGATGGCCAGGGATAAATCCACACTCTAGGTATCCCGGTTTTTACAAATGCCTGTAACAGCACCTCATTCAGTGCAGCCCTAATCCTGACAGAGAGATACTAGCAACAGAGGGGCTGTGTCAAGGACACAGATTCCTTGCTCCGTTGACAATGTTCAATGGGGAACATTTGGTACTGTACTTCGAACCCAGAATTCACAAATGGGGCTGGAGGAGCATTAGGGTTTTCCATCTTCAGGGAAGATTCCCACCACCAATTTAGAGGTTAATAGTCCCGAGCGTAGAACAGCTATTTCATGCCTCACAGCAACCACAGACTGAAAAAAATAAAATAAAAAAATCTTGTCTGTTTGACAAGCATGATAAATAAACCCTTTACTTAGAACACAGTATTTCATCCTCCTTTAATGATGAAGGTACTATTTAAGAATTGTTTGTAGAGCACATATATTTCTGAAAGAAGTCACTCTGCTACCTGTGATGTCCCTGGTCTTGAACCCTAGCCTGGGAGTCCCTGGCCTCCACCCAATGGCTACTGAAACTAGGTGGGCTAGGACTAGGACTATCGCCCCAGCCGGGCCCCCATCCACGGGAGCTCTGATTGGAGGATTGCCCAGCTCCACCAATTGGTCCAACTACACTATCTAAGCCAGGAGGAGGAGCAGGAAGTTTGTCCGAGCAATAAGGTAGTTTCCTGTTATGGCTGCATTGGACCTTGCACCCAGTCTCATTCCTGCTCTGCTCCTGGCTCCTCCCTCACCTGCACCTTAGCTCCTGTTCCCACCTTGCTTCTGCTCCATTCTTGATCCTTGCCTACTCCCCCCCCTCCACTCATCAGTGACCAGTCCCGGCTCTGACCCCAGCCTCCACCTTCTGATCCTGACCCTTAGCTCTGGCATTTGGCATCTGACCTCAGCTCCGATCCTCAGCTTCAATTCCTGGTTCTGACTCGGGCTTAACCGCTGGCTGTAGTAACTGGCAGTTGACTCCAATGCTGACCCTTGCCTTCGTTCCCCAACCTGGACTGCTGTTCCGCCCACTAGACCTCACTCCTGCTCTGACTACTAGGCGAGACTGCCTACATCCTGGTCCATAAGAGCATCTTGACAGTAGAAAACTGATCAATAGTGTAACTGTGTTTGGATTTAAGAAATAAAGTAACATAAATCCTCTCAAATAAAATTTAAAAAACCTTGCTCAACATCAGTCAAATACTGTACAGTAAATGACAAATCCTAGACAGGGAAAATTTAGTTGTGGCTGGCCTAGTGAAATTAGCTCTTTGGTTTTTTGGAAGAGGCAAGGTGATGCTAGAATGGATAATTCTACGACAGAGCTAATCCCTACCAGTACAAATAATATAATTCCATTTTTAAAAAATGGCTTCTCTCAGAATAACGTTCTGGGTGCCCTGCAGAAGCAACTCATGCTCACCAGCATCATGAGAGCTGGGTGACAGGAATGTGTCTGGAGTTATCATCTGAAGCAATGCTGATAAATCTTGTGAAGACAGTTGAAGCTTGCAACTGTCCAGTTAATGTAAAGTATTACTTAACTTCTACAATAGATGGGCTCAGGGGATCAGACCAAGCTTTGGTTAACTAAAAAAATCTGAAAAGGATAGACTATCCAGTCCAGGAGACTTAAAGAAGCCTAATACTCTGCCAGTCTCCCATGTAGTACATTAACAAGCACTTCTGCACCCCTGTATCAAGAATCCTAGCAACAAGCTTAATAAACTGTCGATGAGAAAATGACTGACATTCTTAAATCTCCCTTGAAAACCTGCATTAGTTACAGAATCTGGAATTTAAAATTCAGGCCCTTATTCTAACACAAACAAAAAATGTAGAATAGCAGAAGTCATACTGGGGGTGAGGGGTTTCCTGAAATTGAATGCTAAGAACCTATTTGCATTCAAAATGCAGACAGGACAAAATAGCAGCACTGGTTGAGCTTATAAATATTATTCAAAAACTCTTTAAGGAGCTCATGTTTACTGAATTAGTGATTTTTATTTTTAAGAAAACAGTTAATATAATACAACTGTATCGTACCACCGATTCTATAGGAACTATTAGCTCTTCTTTATTGTTTAACTATTGTTAAAATTTTGGATTTATATGTATTTTGGCTTTTACCACATTATTTTTAGGTAACACTCAGATATGTAGTTTGTCTGTCTCTGAAGATTGTATATATCAGGATTTTCTTGCTTTAGCTTATTACAAAGAGTTTGGATAATCATGGATTTATGCACACTGCCATCTATTAAACCACATCCCTTTTAGAACCTGGGAGTGAAATCTGGTACTACACTCTGTTGTTGTTTTTATACTCTTAAATCCCATTGTTTGGCAATAAATTCAACCAACTCCTATAATTTAACAAAAACTATATTTAAAGAATAACAGTTCACTAATTAAGGAAATTCCCCATTAAGGATCAAAATACCTAGATAGGTACACCTCCACCTCGATATAACGCGACCTGATATAACACGACTTCGGATAGAAAGCGGTAAAGCAGTGCTTGGGGGGGGGGGGGGGGGGGGGGCACCCGGGGGGATAAAAGGAGGTTAAATAAAACGGGTTTTCCCCTATAAAAGGGTAAGATTTTTTGGCTCCCTAGGACAACGTTATATCGAGGTAGAGGTGTATTATGGGATTCAATAAGGAGGCATTAAGGTAGTCTCCATTTTTTACATTGATCTTTAGCTGTACATCCAGGCTTTTAAAAGAACTTTAATGGTATCTGAAGCAGGGGTCAGAGTATTTTTAACATCTGGTTTGGCTTTTTTAACACCCACCCACCTTTTCTTCTTTCTGTTTCTAGAAAGGGAAGGCTTTTAGAACATAAGGAGCAATGCCACCACAGAGAAGGCAGAAGGAGGCAACAGCTGCCTGAAGATAATCCATTGAATAGAGGTCTTCTTCCACCAGTGGTTTTCCTCAATTAACTCTAAATCTTCCAGTGCCAACAGAATGCTCCCTTGCTGCAAACTGTACAGACGCAACATTTAAAGAGAAGGGATCATAAGAGGGCCAATACATTTCCAAGATCAACCTGCAATATCAACATCTGTATTGTTTTTTTCTTTTGTGTTTTGCCTAACTGTTGGTTTAAGCAGAATTTTCCAGGATGGTGCTTGCTACAGCATATTTGACATGGAAATAAGCTATCATATTTTGCCTTAATATTAAAAATAGTTGTAATATAAAATGCTGGATGTAGATATACGTTTTTGCATAAAAAGGTACAACTGGTTTTGAAAACTGGAAGAGCCATTAGCCCTCATGAAAACGTACTGGTTTGAACGTTTCAAAACACTAACACAAGAAAGCCTTTAAAAAATTGAAAAATTGAATACACATTGCCATTAAAACCAATTACACTTTAGTGAGACAGTGTGGTCCAGTGGAGAGGGCATTGAAGTGGGGGTCAAGGAATTGGGGACTCTACCACTGACTTGCTATGTGGCCCTGGGCAAGTCACATCCCCACTCTCTGAGGCCATGAGGGAAACTCAGGTTTGATAGGTGCAACTCCCTCCACTTCAGGGTTTTTATTATGGCAGGAGCAAGGGTGATGCAGAACTGGCAAGGGAAAGTACATCTGATGACACCCAGGAGCCACATCTGAGGCTAATTAAAGGGCACTATCACCTGGCGAGTGGAGCTAGAGCGCAAGGTGTGAGAGAAAGATGGAAGCTCTGAAATGGTCTTGAAGAACATCTACACAATCCCCACTATAATTTAAACAGCAGTAAGAGGTCGGGGGAACAGGTGGCGCTAAAAGGGAAACTCAAGGTGGTACATGTCAAAGTTCAGTCAATAATTTATCTCTCTCGGAGATAAATTTGCCCAATGCTAGGGCACCTGGATTTATCTCTGAATGGAAGGTGCACCTTCCTCCTCTAGCACACAATGGGCCAACTTCGCCTACAGCAATTGCAAATGCTGAAAAACACAACACAGTCTCTATAAGGAAATATTCACAAGGAGTAGAACAAGGACTTGGGCATACATTTGCTCTCCTCTTTTATTAGATGAGAAGTAGATGCAAGTCAGTGGCCATATATAACACCAGCAGTTAATCTGATTTACAGCCCCTCCTACAAACCAATAGGCTCCTTGACATCTTCAGTGTCAAAAAGGCAGGATTAAAAGCCAGAACACAGCCCCTTCACACCTGCCAAGTCTCTCTCATTTGGAGGAAGACTCCTTCAGTTTGGATTGATTTTATGGCAGTCTTTCAGTTCTGGCTATTGGTGTGAAGGATTTTATTGTGTGTATATATATCAGGGGATTTTTAAGACTCTTAGGTTGGTTGGTTGTTGGTTTGGTCTGGTCTGGTCGTTTTTAAGTCTCCCTTAGAAAAATAATTGAAGATTGACAGCCCTGTAATTTATATGTTGCTAAATACAAGAGATATGTAAAAACAGCAGAATAATTAGAACCCAGATCAGAATGCAAACAAAAGGTGTTAAACTGAACCTTGGGAATATTTATAAGGAAAATAAATTGGACAGAAAAAACCCTTCTGAATGTGAACAGCTCCCTCCTTCATCAGTTTCACCACAGGCTGATAAAGTACAGAAATGCTACTGTAGCCCCTCAGGGCTTATTTTGACTAAAGCTTAGGAATGCAACATATAAACACTAGACTCCCACATTACACTGTTACAACTTGCATTAACAGCGACTGGACAAAAGCCACATTTTCATAGAAACATCTTATAGGGATAAATCTTGTGTTTAGTTTTAAAAAAAAAAAACAATTTCCTCACATAAATCATGCTCTCCCAATTCAAGAGGTGACTGATATACTGCAAACAACTGCAGATTTAATTTCCTTTTAAACTGTACTGAAGGGTTCTGTTTATCTGTTGATGTTTAACTGAAGACACACTGCATTTCTGTATTCAAAGTAGCCAGAACTGTAAATGGCACCTAAATTTTGTTTCAAAATAGCAATTTCAGCTTCCTCAGGTGACAGAGATATATTTAGTTCCTGAAATCAGCTCACTAGAGAAAGTTAAAAATAGAAACATCTTTATTTGCCTATAGCACTAGCAATCACGTACTTCCCATCATTATTTGTATTGTGCAGTCCCAGGCACAGATCAAGACCCCACTGTGCCAGATGCTATACAAATCGAGAATAAAAAGACAGTGCCTGTCCAAAAGAGCTTACAATTTAGTAGAGTAGAAACTTCTGCTACTAGTTATTTCACCTACACACAGAACTTCACCATAAAGCGTTTACCGTAACTGCCACATTGTTGTGCATTGAAATTTTGGGGTTTTCTTTATGAACGCATTTTTACTATTTTCACTAATTAGTTTGCAGTGTATAGATGAGTTTTGTCTAACTTAATTTTGTATTAAGTTACATACATCAAACTAGTATTTCTAGTTTGTAGTAGCCAAAAAGAGTAGATGAATAGAATGATAAACATAACGACATCACGTTCTATGTTCTTTGATTTGCTGTCAAAGTAGTAGTACCAGTTAAGAGTAAACACTAGCAAAAATAAGCTGGACTGTGTTTTACCAATCTAAAACTTATTTCAAACATACACAAAAGTCACAGCAAAGAATAACAATACGGCATTAAATTCTAAGCAGTTGCTGCCCTCTTGTGGCTTCTCTTTATAACTGCTATAATTAAAAAAAAAAAAAAAAAAAAAAGCTATATTCATCTAGGTCAGGGGTAGGCAACCTATGGCACGGGTGCCGAAGGCGGTACGTGAGCTGCTTTCCAGTGGCACTCACACTGCCCGGGTCCCTGGCCACAAGTCCGGGGGGCTCTGCATTATAATTTAATTTTAAATGAAGCTTCTTAAACATTTTAAAACCCTATTTACCTTACATACAACAATAGTTTAGTTATATTATAGACTTATAGAAAGAAACCTTCTAAAAACGTTAAAATGTATGACTGGCACACGAAACCTTAAATTAGAGTGAATAAATGAAGACTCGGCACACCACTTCTGAAAGGTTGCCGACCCCTGATCTATGATGCTGAAAATTCAATTTGCTTTTCAAAGGTGTTTCTTGTGCAAAACATTCCTGTGGTAGGCACAGAAATAAAGCCACAAAATAGCTTTACAAAATTAGGTATAGCAGTATTCAGGAAAAAAAATTCAGAGGTGAAACAGAATGATAGTGAAAGCTAGAATGCACAAGCGGTAATTTAGACCATTATTGTGCCTTACTGTAGCAAGGTAAGAATGCAAGTAACAGCGTATATTAAAGTCTTACGTTTTTCCAGGAGAGTCTTTCAACCAGAATATATCATCACTTGTAATTCCATATTCCAATGCACCAGCAATCTATGAATAAAATGTATAGATAATTTTGGAGCTGATAGAACACACAGAAATAAATGAAAAATTGAACTTGAGCACTACAAGACACTATACTGTTTCCATTAGCTCAATTTCTGATTTTCTGCAAAATAAAAACCACAAAGCTAAAGAACTACGTAGAGGTGCTAATACACATTTTAGAATTTTACTGCATTTGTACATGCCCAGTGGTTTGAAAAGAACCCAACAGACCCATCATATATTGAACACCCCTGAAATTCCCATTGCTTCTGTGTGGAATCAACCCTATGTTCTCCATTGCGTGCGGTGACTTTTTAGAATGTTTAGGCTCTGATCTATAGTTTTGGTCACCCACAGAATTGCCAATGTTATCTATAGATAAGGTAGCTGCAGTCGGCTCTTGTACTTTTCTACATTTACTATTGGAACAGTGGTTAACATAGATTGAAACAGAAGGGGGAACTCTCATCACAGCAGCCAAGAAGTAGAGTGAGTGCTGCTTACCCAAACCAAGCACAAGAGGGGAAGTTTTCTTCTTCTTTTGTCAAAGGACTGGGAGCTGTGGTGTGCCTCTCCCCCCCTTTACTTTAACACACGTGCAGGAAAAACCCTGAATGCTTCAAAGAGTAATATTAAGAATAATTTATCTAAGGCAATCAGAAAGTTTTTAGGTGTGATCCAGAAACTGAAGTTCTATCCAAATCAGGACTGAAAAGCTGGGACTCTGAATTTTTCTATTCTAGCCTATGTAGGTTTTTCTACCTGCTCAACAGCACAGTATGAATGCCTTCCTGTAGTGCATTAAGCCACATGACTATACACCTGTCACGTGTTTGTTCTCTCATCCTCTCCCCAGAGGAAGAAGCATGCACAATGGAGTTGATGGTTTTGGTAACGTGGTGCTTTTTTTGTTTTTAAATATAAATATATCGATTGCTCTGTGTTTATGTTAGAGAAGACAAGGTTGAAGAAATGTGCCCTGCACTTGGAGCAGAAGGTGGTGAGGTCTGTGATGGCCCTAGTTCCTGGTGGAGTTCATATCACAGTCTTGGACCACCCTTGGAGAGGGTTCTGTCTCCCACACAGACAAGCTTTACTGTTTTTGTGGAGAGTTCCATTGTGCCAGAGGAGCATAGTTGCTGATCACAGTCTTCGTCCTTAAAGCTTCAGATGATCTTTTACATATCCTGGGCCCAAGCCATGGAGTACTTTGAAGATAAGGACTGAGACTTTGAACTTAATTCAAAATTCTATGGAAGGCTAGCGTAGAGAGTGAAGGACAGATCTGATGTGTTCACAGTAGGACACACACTGGAGTGTACTGCACTAGTTGGAGTTTCCGAAGTGCTGAAGGTTTTCATACTCCGGTATATCACCTTGCGGTTATCCAGCTGAGAGGTGAAGAAGGCATGAATAACTCAGGCCAGGTCTTTGTCTGCCAGGATGGGATGGGAGTTTCCTAGCCAAGTGGAAATGGTAGAAAGCATTACTTGTAGATGCTGCTCATCATCAGTAAGATGTGATAGCTCAGCATCAGCAAGGAAACCAAGAGTATTTCTAGACTACAAACTGAACTGCCCAATTAGGGGGTGTGCATTTTCAACCAATAGAGACTGCACCTGGTCTGCAAGCTCTTCAAAATACTTTTCTCTGTCCACAAGCATCACCTCTGTCTTGCTTCAGCCAACTGTTCTTCATCCAAGAGCTGATCTCATTCAAGCACTGGGCCATCGTGTGATATGCTTGTATGTGGTGACGGATAAATAGATCTGTAGATTATCTGCATATTGCTGGAACTTGAATCCATGTCACCTGAACACTTCACCTAGAGGTTATAAGTAGGTGTTGAAAAGGAACAGACAGAGAATTGATTCTAGTGGTAGAGGTGCAGTTTCCCATCACTACTCATTGGGAGCATCCTTTCAGAAATAACTCTATTTTAGCATGTATTATCCTAGGAGCCTGCCACCTCTCTCAGGCAAGATAGCAGATTCTGCAGCATTCAACACTGTTGACCATGAGAGAGGTACACCAGGATGAAAATGGATGACTGTTCTCTATCCATTGACAGGAGGAGATCATCCATCTGTGCCACTGAAGCAGCTGCCACTAAAACTTTGCCAATGATGTTCATCATATCAGAGCACCAAAGTCCCAGAACCCATCCATGACAAGAGAAGGAAATGGGCAGACACCTCTGACATGGCTTACTGAACGAACATAGATCATAAGGACAGCAATGTCTACACAGAAGGATGTTCAATACCACCTCCACAACTCTTATGGAGAAACTCATTTTTCGTTTCTCCTTGCAAGAGCTATAACCATTTTTAGACTTGACTATGTTATGCTTTCACCCTTATTTCACATAGGCATTACACAATAAGGGATGAGGGAATTACACCTGCAGAAAAACTTGCAGAAAGCCTATTTTTGGTTTTTATGCTGTGTCAAAGGAATTTACATTATGTGTGATATAGGTATTGCCAGCTAGTTCCGAGAGGCTTAAGGTTCAGTGAGATCAGCCTTTGGTAAACAACACAGATGGGCCTCAAGATAACTAACATGCTAGGGACCCTTTACCACCAGGTCATTGGTTAGAACCCATCCCTGGTTGATAGCAACTTAATTTGAGAAAAGACCAATGGCTTATATGAAATGAGTTCAGACATCTCAATTCAGTTTCCAGTGGACAGGTATTTACCTCTCAAAGTCACCATCACAATTAAAACTAATTGGCATTTTCAGGAGAGTCCAAAGAAAGTAAATCAGCCTGATCCCCAGAGGTGGTCCCTCCCAATCAAGGTAAATATACAGTCAAGACAGTGTGGGAAAGGATGCACGGCGAGTGCCCATACCTAACTGTCTGTTGTACAAGATGACAACTTCAGTTTTAAGAACTGTTAGTCTGGCACCTTTCACCAGCACTAAGAACACTTTTTAAAAGAAAGCTGGACCTGCCTATTGCTCTCCAACTTCAGATGCATGGCCCTGAGACATCTCATAAAACTGGACTACATGGCATGGAATCTCTTGTGCAGCCCCTTGGAAGATCACACAAGCCACGTGCTACTTTTACCTGTTCTGCTGTCTTAGAAGGTTAAGGGTTTAAACTGTGCAAAGCTATACTCATAGCAGGAGGCTTTTAGACTCAAGGACATTCAGGATGGTGAAATAGGGCAACAGGTTATGGTCTCATTAAAAAAGGGGTCTTATATTTTAATTTTTGCTGGAAAGCTCACGTATTATGTTAAAGGCAACTGTTCCAGCTCACACACTCACAGAAGTTAATCATTTGTATCTTTATCTGTGCATTTATGTCCTTTGGTAAGTCCTCCAAACATTTAGTGTGAGCTACAGCAGAAAAAGTAAAGCTATTGGAGATGTCACATGGCAGATGTGACTTACATGTGCAGGATATTTTGGCCTCCCTCCAGTGGCAATGACGATGTTTTCTGCAGTAATGCTAATCTGCAAACAAATACACAAAGTTAGGATCATCATGATCAACAACCTCTGCAAGAATCGCCGGCTTTATTCTGAGACAACCTTATTGTCTGTCATTAGCTTTTAATTACATACATATGGGTAATAAGAACTGAGAAAAATTGGTATTAAGCACATGCTATTTGTGTAAACTTGTGCACCAACCAGCACTATGTTAACAAAGGTTGCATTCATCTAAAAGTGACAAATGAGTTTGGGTACTAAAATCAAGACACCTTATAATGAGTGATTTTCAGAAAGCGCTGAGCATCTGCTATTTGAAAGTCAGGCCTCTTTAAAGTACCTCAAGTAGTCACTTCTGAAAATTTTGGCACATTTACATAATTTTATTCAAGATCTTTTGCTAACAGGGCAGAAGTGATTACCAACCATGACTCCACTCAGGTGCTTGAAGTTAAATTGCAATATATTTGCATTAAAAAAAAATGAATGCAATGTTTTCCCAATTTTGCAAATGGAGGAAAAGCATCTCTTAGATGACCCAGGAGACAACATAAGGAGAAAGTTTTGTCTAGTAGTTACAGCATGACAGAGTGAGGAGATCTGGGTTCTATTTAAACCTCTGCCATTGATCTTGGCTCTGCCAGTACTATGGGACTTTGGCCAAGACAATTAACCTTCTTGTGCCTCAGTTTTCTCATCTGTAAAGTGGAAATAATAATACAAGCTAACTCAATGTTGGGAGTGGGGTTTATTATGTTCAATTATCAATGTATTAATGTTTATTTAAGCACTTTGAGATCCTTTGATGGAGAGTACTTTACAATTGCAAAGCCCTATTAATTTCCATGTGCAGGAGGTTCTGGTTTGATAATTGAAAACTACATTTGCAAAATAAAACCTAGATCCCAGTATATTTGACAGCTAACAACAGACTTGGGGCTAGAGTTTCTGAAGTTCAACCAGATGATGCTATAACAACCAGCCATGTAGCTCACCTCTTTACCTGCATTTGTCAAACCACGGACTGTGTGTGCATCCATCAAACTGCCTGTGAGGTTGAAATACTTCACTTTTCTGTTTAAAAAAATTACACCTACTTAGTGAACAAAAATCCAAGACACAAACAATCAGCTAGCCCACTCTTTCAAGAGCATCAGACCTAAAGTGACAAAGAGGCAGTAAATAGTAGCAAAACAGGAAAGTAAATGCAAGGGGAGCATCAGCATTTCATAGATCTATTTGTGGCTTCACCACTGACTTATCATCTGACCTTAGGCAGGTCACTTAAGTAAACTATGGCACAAAAGTTATCTATACGACGGGAATAACACCTATTGTAAAAGATGTTGCAAGATTTAATGCTTAAAAAAACCCCACTGACCGCCTAGATGACAGTTACCAAATAAGGGCACAGTATTACTATTTCTCTATAGTGCATACTTAGGAACATTAGCTTTGTGACTCCCTCTGAAGTTAGCTATACACCTAAGTTACCCATTAACTTCATCTTCACCACAAAGGAAACATTGCCAAATGATCTAGACAACCTTGAGAAGGCCTGAGGGCTGAAAAATTGGGGATAGTGTTTTTGTCTGTTCATTAAATGATGTTAATTATGCATTCATTTCTCTAGTTCAGCAATGTTATTTACAGGCTCACTGGTGTTGTGTGAAAATTCTCTCACAGGAACCTCAGATCTAGTCTATGTTATATTAATGTAAATCCTCCTGCACACCAGAGAGAAGTTTTTCTGGTCCTGAAGAACCATCCCTTTCACCCGCACTCATCCTTAAAGTTACTGCAGTGCCCCTTCCAGAAGAGGCTGGGCACAGTTCCTTCCAAAGCTTATCAATATTACTTTGAGTCATCCCAGCAGAAAGATTTCTATTCGCATCCCTAACTTAAGCTCTGTGGCACTCCAAAACTAAATCTCTGGGATGACAAAACTTCACAGGACAGCTTTTGTCTAACAGTCACTCCTAATCACTTTGCACATAAGTAGGGCCCTACCAAATTCATGGCCATGAAAAACGCATCACGGACCATGAAATCTGGTCTCCAACCGTGAAATCTGGTCTTTTGTGTGCTTTAACCCTATACTATACAGATTGCATGGGGGGAGACCAGCGTTTCTCAAATTGGGGGTCCTGACACAAAAGGGAGTTGCAGGGGGGGTTGCAAGGTTATTTTAGGGGGGCAGCAGTATTGCCACCCTTACTTCTGCGCTGCCTTCAGAGCTGGGTGGCCGGAAAGCAGCGGCTGATGGCCAGGCACCCAGGTCTGAAGGCGGCACCTTCCCAGCCGAAGCGCAGAAGTAAGGGTGGCAGTACCATACCATGCCATCCTTACTTCTGCGTTGCTGCTGGTGGTGGCTCTGCCTTCAGAGCTGGGCTCCCAGCCAGCAGCCGCCGCTCTCCAGCTGCCCAGCTCTGAAGGCAGCGCCACCACCAGCAGCAGTGCAGAAGTAAGGGGAGCAGTACCGCAACGCTCTGCAATAACCTTGTGACACCCCCTACCCCTCTACAACTCCTTTTTGGGTCAGGACCCCTACAATTACATGAAATTTAAGATTTAAATAGCTGAAATCATGAAATTTACAATTTTAAAAATCCTATGACTGTGAATTTGGTAATGCCCCACACATAAGGAGGAAAAAGTGGCAAATTTTTTCACTCATTTAGCTAACATTAACAAACAGATCAATAGTCTTTGCTGGAGAGTTTCAGCACTTGCAAAAATGCAGGAAATGTCAAAGCTGAAACAGCAGTTCTACAAAGAGGAGAAAAGCTGCTTGATTATATGAGGGAAGATAAAATGTAGAGTTTCATTTACTTGTCCTGTAGCTGCACTCTGTGTCCCCAGTTCAAGGATTTGACATAATTTTGAATGGCTTCAGCCATCACAGACCTATCAAGAAACAGGACACGAAGTGTTAAATCATTATATTACAGATTGTGAAAATGCAACTCAAAGACTGATGCACAGGTAATTGATGGAAGTTAAGAATATTTTTGTAATATAAATGACATTAGAACAAAGTGCTAAATCAAAACACACACACAATATCTTCCTTGCAAAACTAGCAAGCCTGATTTTTTTCCAAAGAGTGGCCACAGAATAGTCCAAGTGAAATTCAATTCTGTTGCTGTCTCAGAGTGAAGAGCAGTGGGGAAAATTTTGCTACTTTTATTACACATCTACAGGAAACACAAAATGCATAGGTACAATATTCTTTACCAGTCATGGTGAACAGGGTGGGATATATTCCAGCCATAATGTTGGGAATCTTTAAGAGCACTCCCTAAAAGAGCTGCTTGATGCATAAGCTTTTTAGGAATGCAGCCAACGTTCACACAAGTGCCACCAAGTCCCCATTTGGTTCCTAAAGAGAACGTACAAAAAATCCAAACAGATAATTTTAAACTAATGCAGTTAGTTTGGAAATCACAGACGCCACTTACACAATCTGCTGCAGATGAATTTCTCACTCTGCTTACAGTATTTATGGAAGTAACTTTTTATTTTTAAGTTTAAAATTAGTACTGAAAATACCTTAGATCTTTTGTGTATTGAGCAGTGTAAGACTTAAAGTACAGCAACACCAACTATATACATTCAAATGTCTGCGTTCCTACCTCCTAATTTACATAATAAACCATAGAAAAAATTCAAGAGCCACTTGATTTATAGATAAGATAATGAACACAAGCTGAATTGTAAGTTACATTTGCTAACAGTCATGTTTTAACGGAGACAATGATTTTAAACTTTATCCAAATTCCACTCACACTGAAGTCAAGGGGAGTTATGCTATTGACTTCTTGAGGGCAACGATTGACTCACAGTGTACTTCTACAATGCCAACCACTGACACCACACTGGCCCTAATGTGTTTAGAAACAGCCCTATTTAAAACTTCTTTGATATAAAAAGTGATCATGGCTTACTTTCATACCTTTAGGTGAAGGCTCCACATAATCAAGAACAGCCACCTTCTTTCCAAACTGAGCAGCTTCAAAACAAAAACAAGGAGAGCAAGTATATTTAGCAAAGGGGAAAACACATGAAGGAAAAACCTCATTATAGTGCTGCAGTTTTGGAGGAAAAAAAATAAGGTTATTAAACATGTTAAATACAGTTAGCAAACAGAGCAATTTCCCTGACAATTCCAACAGCTGTTTTGTGTTTCTAATTTCAGCAACTGTTCTTACTGTGTGTAAACATGCAGGAGGTATAATAAAGAGTAAAGGAAAAAAGGATACCATCTACTGAAGCATTCAGTGTAACTTAAGCCCTTATTTCACTGCTGTAGTGTGTTAAAAATCCAGATGGCAATGAAGCCAGAGTTTAAAAGATAAGGGTGGGAAAAAAAACCATACAAGACCATCCTGTTCCTGTCTATGAACGACTCCTTAAATATAAGTGAATTAATGATTTAAAAAAAACATTCTTTGTAGGGACTGAATGCTTTAAGGAGACTAGCAGAGACAGCAATGAGATAACTAATATAGTCATAATTTAAACAAAAAATTGCACTTTTTATTATTATTTCTTTACAGCTCCAAACCTTCTTTTGCACAAGCAAGGCCTCCAGAACCTCCACCAATCACCAGAAGATCATACTCATTTTTCCCTATGAAAAGAACATATAAAAAACAGAAGAAGAAATTAGAAAGATGGCAGAGGTACATTACGAGGTGTCAGGTTTGGGGTTTTTTTTTATTAAAATATTGTCCTATCAGTGTCCCATAACACTCTACTGTACCCACTCAAACATTCTACCCTCCAAAACAACAATGTGCTAGTGCATGAAAACCAGCAGATAAAACTAACCAGTTTGTTTTCAGAAATTAAACAAAAAACAAAAAAGTAAACAAATAGCAAAAGAGTGAAAAGTAAATGAGATACTGTACTGACCATGTCCACCAAAAAGTGGATTGACACAATAAGTCATAATGCCTCTAGCTTCCTAGATCATTATAATTGGAACTCTAATGCATATTTTATTGACAAGAGTATAACAGGTCCTATGGCTGAAGTTTCTATGCATGCAATCTCCAAAGCAACATGTTAAAGAGTCTTATGAAGCTTTGGTTGAAAAAAAGTTGTTGCAGAAGTAGACATTTTTCTACCCCAACTATTTAATTTTTGTTCTCAAGCAAGCAGAAGCAGCAATCTAAATTACAAACTAGTGGGCTGCAACAACCAAGAGTATTTTAACAAACTCACTTTTATACAAAGGTAAAAACCAAGTGATTTCTATCAAAAACAGCCAGACCACTTGGTTTGCTAACAGCCTGATTTTTCAAGCTACCGAGGACCATCGATTTGTAGTTAAATAAATAAGAAGCAATCGCACTCAACAACTTGCAGGATATGAGAAAACCACATTCCCAAGCTGTATCACCAGTTTCAACCTAGGGAGTTTTCTTGGTAGATGTGTACATTTCAGAATAGAGAGAGGTTGAGCACAGAACCACTGATCTCCCTCTATAATATAATGGCACCTTAGAGACTAACAAATTTATTTGCGCATAAGCTTTCGTGTAGCCCACGAAAGCTTATGCTCAAATAAACGTGTTAGTCTCTAAGGTGCCACTAGTACTCCTGCTCTTTCTGCGGATACAGACTAACACGGCTGCTACTCTGAAACCTATAATATAATGGTTGTGCTTAAAAAGTTGTTAGGTGCCTTCAGATAAGGTGTCACCGCAGGTCGGGGTGTCTCAGAGCTGGAGGTGGGGGGCAGAATCCGCCCCACCCCCGAACCCAACATTTCCAGGGCAGGGGGAGATGGCCACCTACCTGCCCCTCCCCCGCCCCCAGCAGCTTCCTAGGTAAGGGAGCCCCACCAAGAACCAGGAGCTCACTCCCCCTCCCCTTCCCCTAGGAGGGTCTCAATCACCTCCCCCAGCGGCCACTGCTGCTGCCCCCCAGTCTGAGGCCGGGTGGGGAGACCGCCCCTCGTCCCCGCAGCAGCTCCCCCAACAGGGAGACCCCCTCCCGTCCCCCCTGCAGCAGCTCGCCAGAAGACAGAAGGGGGAAGCCATCCCTCGCCGCCGCTCTGGCAGAGGGTAACCGGCAAGGGGATGGGGGCCGCCGTACCTGACAGGACCCGAGCCGTACGGCAAAGCACAGGCTCCCATTGGAAGCGCTTCCGCCCCCGGCACAGCGCCGCCATGTTGTACGGCAAAAGTTCCTGCTGCGCCCCCCGCCCAGGCAGGACCCCAGATGCCCGGCCTGTCCGGTTCAGCGCCTGACTGAAAGGCACAGAGGAGCCGCTGCTCTCGTGCGCTCCTCAGGGACAGCCTAGGGCGGAGAGGGTCGGCTCGCGGCTCCGCTACTTCCCGGAGGCGGCGGCGGCTCCGCAGGGAGGCTGCACTCGGTTAGTTGGGGGGCTGAGTGAGTCAGGCGGAGGGCAGTGCCCCGTGGGGAAGTACAGCCTAGGAGGCGGGCTGAGCAAGAGGGTAGGTGACTGTTGGGCGGCCCCGCCGTGACCCTAGGCCAGGGGAGGGACTGGGGTTCGAGTCCCTGTTCCGTCTGAGGCGCTGTGCCCTTGGTCAAGTCACTTAGCCTCTCTGTGCCCTGGGCATCAGTGCCCTAAAGCCTGTGGGTGGGGGCAGATCCTGCCTGAGCCGTCACCCCACTAACTCCGTCTACCCTGCCTTTCCCATGAACCAGAGCGTTTCGGTGCTGATCTCCTCCCCCGTGTTGTGCTCACATCTTTCCAGTCTCATGCCAACTTAGTTTTAAGACATGGTTGTTGGGAGAGGGGAGGGGAGGGGGGTTTAAACAGGCCTCTGGCTACATAGGAATTTACTTTGTTTCAAGTGGCAGGTTTTTTGGAATTGGCACACATGCCTCAGCAACCCCTCTGATAAAGAAATGGAGGGAAGGTCTCTGCAAAAGGGGGTCAGGTTAAAAAAATAAGAGCTCGGTACTCAGTTTGAGCAAAGAATACCTCTCAAACAAGAGCAAAACTCATTTTGTCCAAAAGTTGACATTTGATATTCTGGGGGTGACTGGCGGCGTGAAGATTTCCTTCCTCTTTCCAGGGGTGGTAGAACTAGCGTATCAGCACTACTGCAGAAGAATGACTGGAATATTTACTGTAGCATTAGCACACCACCTCTTCAAGATGAGGAGGATCTATGCAACATGTACACCCCACCTTTCCTCCCGTATCATGCCCCTTGGCACAGCAGCACTACGCCAGTGTTACCAGGGGGCCCTCCACAGTCGCATGAGTGAAGGCTGGAGAGCCGCTAGGGTACGTCTACACTACGAGATTAATTCGAATTTAGATAATTCGAATTTGGGAAACAGATTGTATAAATTCGATTGTGCGCGGCCACACTAAGCACATTAATTCGGTTTTTAACCACATTAATTCGGTGGTGTGCGGCCACACTACCCCATTAATTTTAACCACATTAATTCGGTGGTGTGCGGCCACACTACCCCTAATTCGAATTAACAAAATCGATTTTGGTGCTACTCCACTCGTCGGGGTGGAGTACAGAAATCGATTTTAAGTGCCCTTTAATTCGAAGTAACTGGCTCCGTTGTGTGGACGGGTTAAGGATTAATTCGGATTAACGCAGCTAAATCCGAATTAAAGTCGTAGTGTAGACCAGGCGGAACCAATCTAGTGGCTGGAGTAGGATCTAATCCTGATCCCACCACTGACTGACTATACAGCCTTGGGTAGCACTTCACCTATATGCCTCCTGTTACCCAGCTGTAAATTAACAATAATTATATTGACCTTTTCACAGGGGGATTACGTGATTTAATTATTGTTTGTAAAGTGTTCTGTGGTCCTCTGATAAAATGCCATAGAAATACAAACCAGACATTAATCAAGATTATGCCAGAGGGACCAGCAAACTTTATTCATTCAAAAGTTCTGGCTATTGTCCAGTTCTGTGGCATAACTGTAGACTAACATGTTACTACATGGGAATCTAGATACTTTGGTGATTCACTTGTTACAGATACCAAGGTAGATGGGTCTATTCTTGGGACTTTAAGCCCTTGGCCCTGTGGAGGAGCAGCCCTAAAAAGGGACCATCTTTAGTCATTCTCTAGTGCCTCCTTAAGTTAGCTCAGGAACAGCACTGATTGGCTCATGAGAAAATTGCATCCAGCCATCTTGTGCTTCAAATGTGGTCAGTCCCATGCAGGGCTGAGGGGTCACTGGGTGGGGGGAGAGGCAGGATGGAGGGGAATTAAAATGGGAAAAAGAAAGATTTGAGGGACTAAAGACACCACCTAGGATGGATAGAAGTGCTCTGCATACACAGTACCTTGCTTAGCTTGTTGTTAATTGTTGTTTCACAAACCATGAAATGAAAATGGCAACACTTTGATAAAAGGATTGAAAAGCTGTCTGGTATCATGATAAACATTTCCTTGGTATGTTGCTTGTTGAATGCTGGATAGGTGATGTGCACAAAACTAAAGATAAGAGTTCAATATGTCCAAAAGGTGGAGCAAGTTCTCCTTGCTGTGGATTTATCTTATTGGTTGTTTTCCATGGGAAAATGTTGCTAGACCATTACATTATTTCACTACTAGGAAAATACTTTTAAGTACTGTAGCAAGACACTGCTGATAGCATGTCCCAGAGCTAGGAATCCTTAGTAAAAAATGCTCTGATCCTCAGCCGTGGAGAAATGTGCTCTTAGGACCATCAATAGTATTTCTTTCAGTATCAGCTGCAGAGATGGGTCATGATGTGATTGAAGAAGTTGTCCCACTGCTCCTAGTATGATAGTTATGGCTGCTGAACTGGTATTAGAAAAGCAAACCTGAAATCACGTTCAGAAATGTCTTTTGTGCTGATAGGTGAATGCACATATCTCCTACACCCAAGCTGCTTTGGTATGGAGCTATGAAAGAACACACTCTTAGAAATCTGGGATGCAAACAAATTTCTTAAATGACGTTATTGGACTCAGCTTCATATTTTCTAAGTGTTGTCAATTGTAGCAAGACATTTAAATGTTTTACAGTTTTATACTCTGGATGGAATTTAGCTGATTTTGGGGGGAGATTTGTTCAATACATTGTAAACAATACATTATGAAAATGGAAAAAGGAATGACAATGTATGATGTTTCACAAATACTTTAAAATAAATTCAACAAGAAACCAACCCATATATGTAACCTCCGTATTTGTAAGACAATAATAGACCTGCCAAGAAGGAGACTTTCATTTGGGGATTAATTTTCAGGACAATTTTAAAAGTCTGTGCCTCTTTGTCATGACGGATTGTATGTCTGTGTTTTTCAATGAAACTTTTAAAGTCTCCTTCATGGAGAGAACCAGTTTGAGATGCACACTGTGAAAAATGGTTTTGTAACTTTCTGATTGATATGCTGTTGTGTTGTTGTAGTGGTGTTGGTTCCAGGATATTAGGGAGAGGCGGTGGGTGAAGTACTTATCTTTTATTAGACCAACTTCTGCCAAACAGTCTTTTGAGCTCTATGTAAGCTTCTCTCTCTCACCCACTGAAGTTCGTCCAGTTAAAGATCTCACCATGCCCATGTTGTGTCTCTGATTGGTACAACACATTATCCTGACTTTCCTGTTTCTTTTGGCTTTATTCTCCTTATTACCTAACTAGTGCTTTCCAACTGTACTCGGTAGAAAGAGAAGAGGAAGAGAACAGCCATAGCGGGTAGCTACTATTTTTTTAAAGTTATTATGCTATTATTCTGTTTTGCAAGGGGGGGGGTGAATTAAAGCCATTGTATCTTACTACAGTCATATTGAATGTCCTATGAGAGTGTGGAAGGAACTGGGTTAATTGGTTGAATTAAACAGCCTTTGATAAAGGACTTACAGTTGCTTTCCACATACATTGCTTTCTGTGGTCAGTTGCCAGTGTAGGACCTGATCTTGGCATAAAAGAAGGGGGTGAGGGAGAACTAGAATCTGCTGGTGACCTTGAGAAAGAGACCAAGGTAGGACATGTGATATAAGTGAAATGAATGGGATTGTCTGTGGAAGTGACTTGAACAGTAAGGCAGGAGAAGAAAGCCAGAGCTGCAGTGGGACAGGAAGAACTAGTGACATCAGGACTGAGGTGACTGGTGGTCCTCCTGGCTGGTTCTTTTGAAATCAGAAAGCTTGGGGAACAGTTAAACCAGCTAAGTGTGAGGGAAATACCTCAGTGTGGGGGCTAGCCTGGCAAACAGGGACGTCTACTCACCTAACATAGACAAAAGCTATGGAAAACCAGTCAAAATGGCTTGTATCACTTTTGCATGAGACATTTCAGTGGAAAATCATGTGGCAATAATTTTCAAGCTCCAATTCTTTGCTTTGGGGGTTGTAGAAATAGAAAATTATACCCTTTTTTAGTTGTTTTGCTTTGCATTGGTAGAAACAGAACTTCAGTTAATTTGCAACTGAAAACTGTACAGTATCTTAAAATAAAAAAAATGGCCTGGATGATAGAATTCTTTCCAAAAATGGCTTGTGCAGGTTTTTTAAAAGGAGAATATCTCTGAAAGATGTCTAAATCTAAATGAAAATGAATTCTTAATCTTGGTTTCAGAGAATGGTATAGTAATCAGATTTCAACATAAAGCTTCCGTAGATCCCAGGACATTGTTAAAATCTGGGAACTTTCCCGCATTGAAATTTTAGGATTTAATATGTAAGATCTGAAAATGTATCTAAAGGAATGGAATTTCACTCCAGAAAAATTTCCAGAGGAGGGTGGGGGAGACACAGAATTACTCTCTATTCTAAACTGGGTCATAATTTAATTTCACCTGTTTTTTTTTTAGGTTTAAAAGAAAGTCAGCCACTCTAATGTGTTTAAGAACCTCAACAAGGGAAACTTTTATAACCTGGGACACTTTTTCTTTGGCTAAAGATGTTTTCTACTGTTTTGAAATAGCTGCTTACAGCTTGTGGAAAAATAATTGTTTTATTTAGAAACCTTCCAGCAAAGTTTCTGTTTTTTTAGAACTTTTTTCCTTTTTTTTTTTTTTAATACCAGAAACTTTTGGCATGTTAGCAGGGTCTTTTTTGTTGTTCAGAAGTTCATTTGTTTTTTCTCTTTATTCCTTCCTTATTTGTCATTTTATGTTTGTGGCATCTCCTCAAGAGCTAATTGATTTCAAGTGAGGAAGCAGGAGCAGATGGAGTTGTAAGCAGCAAAGTTCTTCATTTTATGCAAATAAGTCAAGTTATATTAAAAAAGGGAGGGGGAGAGAAATATATAGAAGCCTGGGAACTGCCTCTGAATGTTTGTTACTTTCTATGACAAGTCAGTATGTTTGAAAGCACGTGTTAAAAGGTTATTATTTAGAGTGGTTTCAAAATGGAGTCAATTGGTTTGTAAAGCAAACACTGAATGGTTTTTTACTCTCACTAACTACTGTACTCCGCCTCTATTTCTCTATTAAACTTTAGAGTTTGATTTTGCCGGCCACCTTGCTTGTTTGTTAACTATTTTATGCATTAAGACATCTTCCAGGCACTTTTCTGGTACAAATGTGGCCCATTCTTACTTTCTCGAAGAACTTATATCATGTTTCTCAGCAAAGGAAGTTAATGGCTTTAAAAATCAGGTTTTGGCCAGGGTTATTAGGAAAAGAGAACGTGTACTGCTGTAATCTGCGTATGTGCCATCCATTTACTAACTCATCTTCTAGTGCCGTGATTCTCAAGATATTTACCATTGTGGTATGCAGCTCTCTATGTGTTATCTGGGCCACATTCACACAATATATATATATATATATTACCTATATGGCCCTGAGGATGTCACATGGGCCACAGCTGTGTGCTGACTAAGCCACAAGCAGCCCGCAGGCAGGGGGTTGAGAAGCACTGTTCTAGTGCCTTGTCTACACAGCGAAGTTGTACATCCAACTAAACTGGTGTATTTAAAGCTATATGCAACCCCTAGGTTGGCCACAGTAGAAGTGGTATAAATGTGTTTATATTGTCATATCTGATATTGACATAGCTTAGTCCCCTTTTCTGTAATAAATAATCTTTTTACTGGTATAAGTGTGTCCATATTTAAGGGTATAATTTTTACCAGTATATTTGTACTGGTACAATCCCAAGTGACAGTTATAATGGCACAAATTGTGGATAGAACAGGTCTCAGAGTGGAATCTCAACAAAAGGCATTGTAAAATTTTCCCAAAGCTAAAGAAATGTTTTAGAGCTTATAAGGATGTTTTAATAATATAAGGATTAGATATGTATATGGACAATAAGAACATCCCTTATGACATTATACTGATTAAACAATTTATAATAAATGTAAACCCTTAGGGCATAAGCCAATACCTCACAGTTTGGGGGCAGGAAGACGACTTCTCTTATGGGCAAGTTTATTCCATAATAGCTCAGTGTTTCTTGCACCTTCCTCTGAAGCAGATGGTATTGATCACTGTCAAAGATGGGGGCTAAACTAGTTGAACCTCTGCTCTGATTCAACGTTGCAGATTCTGTGCTTTTACATATGCAATGGAACACGTCAAGAACAGAAGGGGTTACAAGTTGTCTTACCTCATACGACATCACAGATTATCTTGATGCTTACAGTAGGGGATGATCAGTAAGATCAATGTGTGGCATGAGTTCTTGTTTGACTGAGCTCTGCAGTCTGAACAGTTAGAAACTCTTCTCACAATAAATAAGGGGAAATATATTCCCCTTTAAGATAATCAACAGTGCCAACTGTAGTTATTCCTGCAGGCACGGACCATCTTGCCTTTAGAAGAGACTGTAAACCAGATTTAGTGCTGGTGTCAATGTTAAGAAATCTTTAATAGTAGAATCATGTTTAATTTTGTAAACAGGTTTTTTTCAGATGCAAATGGAGAATTATTGCAGGTGAAATGAGTTCGTCATTGCTTTTTACTGGTTCTCTTTGGCATCTGGAATATAGGAAAAGATTTATTAAGCTGAAGGTCTAACACATGGAGTGAGGCTTTTAAAATTATTCTGTATCAAAATAACATATTGTTGTTTGTTGTGCTACGTGCCAAAGTATTCATTTACTTTTTGCTTAAAGAGGTACAAAACCACCCCTGACCTCCCACCGTTCCTTATTCATTTCATCCACTTGCTCTTATCTTTTTTTTCTTCTCCTTAAGCTCTGTGAATTAGCCCCAGTCTAGTTCATAGACCTTCATTTGCTGCCTTGTCATCTACCATAAACCCTTTCTTTGTCCCTCCACACCATTTGGTCACTGGTGGGGTGAGAGCGTTCTTCTCCACAGCCCTTTTAGAGCAGTTTCCATGATAGCATTATAGAAATTTGCTCACTCCTACTTTTGCTAAGCTTCCCAGAGAGGATAAAGGGGAAGAAAAGATCCACAGTCAAGTCTATTTATAGCTATATGCTGAAATGGCTTTTGTTTCTTTTCTTCTGCTATCTGAGTGAGTTGCAGTTCAACTATCTTCAGTATTCCTGCTGTGAAAGGGACAGACATGCTTTGGATTTTATTTTAGAGCATGACCTCAGTCTCATATTCAGCCCGAAAGAAGAAGTTTGTTAGAGTGTGGCTCTTCTGATCTGTGTCTTGCAGAATTCTTTCTAAATGTAAGCTTTGAATGTTGTCATATTTGATTTTCTGTAATGCACTGATCTCTTCTCCCTCATTTTCCTCATGGTGTTAACGCAATTTATGATACGAAAGTCCCCAGCAGCACTACAGTATATGGATGTGCATGGGGCTTGTATCTCCCATTTATACATTGGTTATAATGTGATAAGTCTTAACTGGAAAAAAACATGGGCCATATTCATCCCTGGTGTAACTCCACTGAGCACAGTGGACTAACCTACACTGTGGATGAATTTGGCTCATTCCTGACTACCAGCATTCACTGTGCAGTAACTAAGTAACAAGAACAGTGTCATTAGAAGGTAGAGCCAACATTGTGCAAGGAAGAATGGGGGAAAAGGACACGTCTCCTTTTAGAATCTCTGTATACCAGAACGTGTAAGCTGTGCCAGTGATATGATCAAAGGAGACAGACTACTGCAGGCTCTTGGACTCGTATCCTGTAAAATCCATATCACTACAGCACAGGAAAAGATCAGAAGGAACAGCTTCTGTTCTGTGCATAAAGGTACATGTTTATATTTTCCTATTTTTTTAGACGTGATATCTGATATGCTACGCTCTCTTAGAGGCTGCTATTTCAGATGGCGCTGGGTAGGAGAAGGAAGTTTTTGTCAGGTTTCTGACTGCCAGGCACTTTAGTGATGCTAATTTGTGGGCAGAAACAAGTCTTCAAAGAAGAGTAGGACATATTATATGTAATGCTTTCATATTGTATTGTCCACCACAACAGTTGAAAGAGCAAGAGGAGATAATCCTGATTAGGTTGAAAATGTTAATGATGGATAACTATGTTGGCATTAGAATTACTTTTCAAGAAAAAGCTGAACATGAGTCAAGCTTATGTTCAGTGATATTTGCAATGATGAATAGTGGCTCTGATAAATGTGTAGCTGTAGCTATACCCTGGTTTGCATTTTGATTAGGGAGCTCTGCCACAAAATGCCTTTCTTCCCTCGGAAAAGGAACTGCAACTGGCACTGTTGCTGCTCACGGGGTATCTGCTTGTTGCCCCTGGTGGTTACCTTCCCTTAATGGGACATTGTAAAAAAAACAAAACCCATCTTTCCTTACCAGGCTTACTAACAATACTTCTGATTATTAAAGCTATATCATGTTTAATATCAAATTTTCTTCAAAATTTCTGCATTTTAGGTTTGCTTTTTGCACTTGCTCAGCCAGAGACTACGATAATAGACTGCTTAACTTTGATTTCTAGTTTTCATGCACTAGCGCACTGCTGCAGTATTTATAGTATACCACAACAACCATCTGGTTGATGGCTTTTGTCTGCATCCCCAGAAGCGTGCTGGTCATACTGAGCACTAACACTGTCAGCAATATGAGTGTGGTCATTCAGGTTTATTCAGTATTTTCTGTTTCATCTTCAGCAACCTACGGCCAGAGATCTAGTTTTACCTTTTCATTGTTGGTCCGACACCCAGCTGCTGTTGTCTGTCAGACATTCTATCAGAGTCCATGTTAGGGTAAACATGATTCATTCAACAGCCCAGCAGGTCATGTGTTTGACCTGCAGTGTCTAGCCATGCCTGCTGATAGCTCAAAACAGTAGCACAAAATTGTAAACAATTATGAAACAGAAATAAGGACACTTTAGAATTTCTAATTGTTTATAATTGTTTTAATTATTTCTAATTTCTAATTCTAAACAATTAGAAAAATGATATCCCAGTAAAGCTATTGCTATTCAGGGCATACTATAATAGATATTTCTTACATTTAAAAAGCATATTTTTAAACAACAAACTAAAGCCCTAATACTACAATGTGATCCCTGTGTGTGGACCTTACACCTACCTGGATTGGATTGCTGGATGGGTGAGGCCTGGGGGAGAATGATCAACCACAGACAATCAGAATCTGTTTTTATAGAGCACATGGCCACTACATAGCTTTTTTAGGACAGTGAGTGCAGAAGAATATAGTAAAGCCAATCAAAACTACAGGGAGTTTTAGGAGGGCAGAATATAATTATCTTAATTGAAATCTGTCCAATGCAATGGAGATAAACACCCCTCTGAAGCCTAATTAATTGGGATTCTAATCCATAAAAGGCATTTATTATTTTCTGTCTTCTTCCTGTCATCCAGAAAAATGAGAAGAAACCTATCTTTGTTTCTACTGAACCTGGAAAAAGGCAGAATAAAAGACAAAAGAAACAGATTCTTAAACCCCTTAAATCAGCAGAATTTTGCATTTATTGAAGATTGACATTTATGTAGTCACGGTAACCAAACTGAATTATAGTACTAGGAGAGTATGAGGAGCCAGAGATTTAGATTTTAAGTGAGGAAATCCTCAGTGGAAAAAGGTGAAAAGGTCCTCTAACTTGATAACAAGATGTTGATGGAAAAACTAATTACAGTTGTACTTTTGTATTTAACAAAAGTGAACAAAGCCAAGAAAGTGTAATCTGGACATCTGATTTCTTCATATTTAGCAATACGCTGGCTTTCTGACAATAAAAGATTAAAAAAACACCTTGTTTGACTTTCAGCCTTATTGTTAAATCTGTCAGAAAACGAAAGAGTAAAAATATTCTTTCTATTTTAAAATACCAGATTGAGGGTTGTTTTTATTTGGTTGGGGTTTTTTTCCTTTATTTTTTTTTTTTTTAATTTTGTGATTGCTGTGGCAGTCTTTGGCAATCTTATCTTTGGCAGAGACTTACCTGGATGTTCTAGCCAAACTCCTTTGCTGGTCTTGCTCCATGAAAAAGACCAAAAATAAGCACCCACTGAATGCCATAGACAGAGAGGTGGTTTTAGTCAGCTTAGTGTAGGACAGGGAAGCAAGAATTTGAATTTTAATCCTGGCTTTGACACAGATTCTCTCTGTCCTTTGGAAAAGTAATTAACCCAGATTTTAAAAGTATGTGCAAAAGCATGCAAGTGCTTGTGCACGTGAACAAAATGCAGATGTAAAATGCTGGCCACATGAGCCAGACTTGCAAACACGTGCATATCCTCGACTTTCACTAGTGCAACAGGTGTTTTGCTGCACAATTTGGGCATGAGCTTTTAAAAATTTCAAACATAACCTCTCTGAATCTCAGTTTCACCACCTGAAAGACTGGAATAATACTACTTACCTACCTCACAGGGGTGAGAGGAGGGTTAATCAGTTAATGTGCAGGGCCTTTCGAAGAAAAACACTATGTAATTGCTTAGCATTATTACATTTTCCTGTGATGGATGCTGGCTATTAGCAGCAGTCTTTCTGCAATGAGTTCAGGCTCCATTGTCCCTGGGCACTCTTCTATTGTAGTCTGTTCATCAATACCATCAGGCCAGTGGACAGATTCTTTTGTGAACGAAAGTTGAATGGTATAAATTTACCAAGTATTCACACCAGGTTATGTGAGCTAATAAAATCTCTAGATTGGATTATAAACCCCCCTGTATTGTAACACTACAGTACCAACTAGCCACTCAGAGACTCATAATAAACTCAGAACAACCAACCAAGCAATTGGCAGTTAGATTAAATGTATGAAAGATGATAGCAAAATTGGAGGAAATATCTTCCCACAAAGGGATGATTTATCAGTGGGACAAAATCGATTAAGGGAAGCATTTGAAGCACTGTTTGTATCCACATTTTCACCAGTTACTCATAACATCAAGAATATTAATGTGTCACCTTGGTGTTTGCTATCAAGGTGTCCCAGAATGGATCTCTTTAGTAAATATAGATAAAAACATTTTGTCTTTCTTGGGTGCCATCTGTCCAAAACATATCAGTGTACCTTCCAGACCTGAGTTAATTTAGCTTCACAATACTCTTTTCTGTGAATTAGAAAAGTAGCATTTTACTCATAGCGTAATGGAGGCCCCCAGCGGTTAAGTGACTTGCCCAAGGTCACACAGGTAATCTGCTGCTAAAATGAGAATAAAATCTAGGTCCTCCTGAAGGACCACGAGGCCATCTCTCATGGAAGACAGCAGCCTAAGGGCACATGATGCCTTTGCATCATAGGCAGTTTTGTGAGTATTTCCAGACAGGACTACAGCAAAGCTGTGTAGTTTTATCTTGGATAAATTGATGATAAACTAGGATTCAGTTTGTATTTTTTTTAAATAAACATTAACAGAGAACAGACATTTATTTCCAAGTATTTTTTCATTATCAACTAATTTCTGCAGCAGCAGGAGATGAGGACATAATTATTCAAAATGTTATCACTACAGAACTCAACCTTCCTAAGATTTAAATAGTCCTATTTTAATCTCATTTAATCATTACATTTTTAATGTTTCATTATTAAGCATAATTAAATCCTGAGTTTCTTGTGCCAAAGCCACTAAGGCACACACTTGTATGAGCCTCAAACAATATTTGTAAAACAAGTTGTTTACTTTTCTTCTTAGCAAATTTCAGTTTGCAGCAAATGGAGATCCTTTTTGCGGGTGAAACGGGAAACAGATGATTACAAGTATTCACCACTTTACATCAAATCCCCCCATACCTTTCCATGATACATTTATTATGAAGCATAGAAATTTGACAACTTTAAAAACTAATATCATTTCTAGTTACCAATCAGTTTTGTATCTCAAAGAACTCTAGGTGCACAACATATGTTAACTGATGCAGGCTGATTGGAGAAACACCCCTAGAAAACTGGTTAATATTAATAAAAGGCACCTTGATTAAGGTAGTAAGAGTCACCTGTACTTGAGTAAAATCACAGGTTAGGATGAATTGTTTTGACCTTATACATGCAGCTATTTCTGTGTTAAAATGTATGCAATCCCAGAGGCCTTTTTGCTTTGTTTTTATGAAAACAATTGATCATATGGTTTATTCAGTTAATCCCAAACACAACATTTACTCTTCTTTAAAACTATAATTGTGCTACTGGATTTGCATTGTAAAAGAGCACAATAAAGGTCTAGATGAAAAGTTGAGTTGCATTACCAAATCAGGGTGTGATCTCATCAGATCTTTCAAACTGAGCAGGGTCAGGTGCTTAAGGAAAACCCAGGTGCTGCAGAAAGTATAGTAAATGATTTAGTGCCTAAACCAGCACTGACTAAATGTCACAGTGTGGTTGAAGGGTGCACTGTATGTGTGGAGGTGCCATTTTGAGGATAAGAGAAATTGATGACATTGTCATTAAATGTTCCATGGTACTTTTCCTACGAGTGTGTTACCCTGATGTCCCTGCCCAATATGAAACTTAACAACAAATTGCCTCTAGTCTACATACCGCCATCATTCTCAAATCAGGGAAGGTGTTCACTGCCTGTGTGGAGTGTGAATGAGTAATTCTAATCAATTTCCACCTTTCACCCTAGAAATGGCTGCACTTCAGTATTTGGTGAAGTATTCTTTATACTTCGTAAATCCATTGGCAGGGTTTGGGAAGTGCTAAAGAATGCTTCTGGTACAAGATCATTATAAAGCCAAACGGTGTCAGATCTTCACTATTACTTCTTTTGTTTTAATACTTTGTATTGTCTCAACACCTTCTTTATTTATTGT